ATTTTGACTACGACGTATGATTACTAACTTTTGGAGTGTGTCTGAGTCCCCTAAAAAGATTTAAAATAGGATAACAAACGTGTGCTATAAGATATACCAGGTAACTTCGTTGAAGTTGAATTGGTGGGAAAAAGTATTTTCCCGTCCGATATCAGTACCTATCCAAAAGCTATCGTCTCTGTATCTATGGCAACTCTGTCTCTGCTCACATACGAATATGTACAAACTTGTATCCACTTATAAATAATTTCTTTCTTTTTCCCACTCCCCAAAATTTCCCAGCGCGCGTTAATTCATTTACCTAATATCAGCCACTGCTGTAGTCCTATCCCTGCCGCTGTTCCATATCCACGCCATAGTAAAAGGTATAAATCAGACAATATGCCAATGTTTGTTTACTTGCTTTTTCATTTTCAACTTGGCTGTTAAGCAATTAAACAGCAAAAAATCTCGATCCCCCTACGCGAAAGATTGTGTGTTCATATAAAAGTATACATATACGCGAATATGGTGGCACTGGCGTCACTCGCTCAAATACAGCGATTGGGTGTGCTGAAGGTTGGAGGTAGCGCAAGGATATGCCAATGATACATGGCGTGCTATTTATGACGACAGCTTTTGTTTTAATTTTTAAACGAAAACATTAGTGATATGTAGAGACACACACACATACATATCTACATAGAAGGCAAGAAGCAGCGAGCAAGCTGTCAGACAGGCTAGCTAGCTGAGGCGAAGATTGTTCGACCCAACGGCGTTTATTTGTTGTTTACAAAAGCAACTTTTGAACTTGGTCCTCAGTGATGTTTTTGACGACAATGACATGGAGATGCGCCTGGCCACCCACCATGCAGCAGCAGCAAATGCCTCAAGAGGCTGCCTGCCGCAGCTACTTTCAATGAAATAGAGTTGCTCAACAACCAGTTGTTGCTGTACACCGTTGCCAGCATACAGGGAGGGGAAGGCAAGTATTGAAATGTGTTGAGTTTAGAAATTCCATACAGCTTGGTGTTGTTTTTGTTGCTGCTGCTGCCGCTTTATTACCAAACAAACAAGGCATATCGTACAGCTTGCGCCACAGCTTCTGTATTCGCCGCAAATCGCGCCACCCAAAGGAGTTACTCCAGTACCCGGAATATTGTGGATTTGCAATTCCCTTTGCATATCTCTATGTTCATAGGTATGTAAGTATGTACATACTCGTATATTCATATGTTTAGTTGCATATGTGATAAATGATTTCGACAGTAAAACATTGTTGGCGCCCACCTTGCGCGCGACGCATTTGACGGCTGTTTCCCACATAAAATTTGTTTTCGGTTTGTTAGGAAAAACAACAAATATTACTCCATTACAACGATTCTTTTCATTGTGGCTGAATTGATACATACATGTAGGTACTCTGTACGAGAGCCATTTAAAAAGTCAGTGATTTTTGTAATAAAACACATACATACATAGGTAGGTTAGGTATGCCGGCAAGCCCTTATGTGGCTTCGCAGAGAGCATTAAGGCTCAAAGCGTTACCTGGAGCAATGTTAAAGAACATCGCAGTCCTCTTGGCAAACTGGAACAACTTGTTATACCCGACCTTGGTGGCGGCTTCCCGATTAGGTAGAAAGCTTGCTCCCACTAGACTAACCTGTAGTCTACTAAGAGCAGGACACTCGCAGAGGATATGCTCCGTCTCTTCCTGCGTTTTTCATCTTTTACAGATCTGATCATTAGTCAGAGCCAGTTTATGAGCGTACGATTCCAGCAGGCAACACCCACCGGTAGCCTAGCATCCTCCCTCTTGAGGGAAAGGAGAAAATTCGTGATTCATGGCATTCGCTCTGCACATAACCCCGGACACCTTGCAGCCTTGCATTTTATTCCACGCCTTCTGCGTCTTCCGGATCATTGACCGGTCGAGTTCCCCTTTAATCGCTTGGAAGGAAATCAGCACCTTATCTATCAGCATGATTTCCCTCTTCGTTGTCCGCGACTATGTCACCATTGGTGTGTATCAAATTCAGAGCTGCTCTGCACTCCGCCACACTTCTAGAGGAAGTGATGTGGGATAGTAGCACCTTTATTGCAGCCTGACTGTCTATATAGAGATTCACCTACTTGTTTTATGGAGTGCTGTTCCGTAGCTCCGCCGCCTTCCTTGTGTCCAATACCTCCGCTAGAAAATGCTGCAATACTTTGGCAACTTATAGGATTTGTTGGGGCCGAGCTCTACGCATACGACTGTCGTCCCTACGCCCTTCTCCATCTTCGATCCGTCTGTATAGACATTCATGGCGCCAGCACTCATCATGATCTGACGTCAGCTTTGGACCTCTACGGTGGCTTCGAAGTTCATCCCAAAGTGCAAATCGTCCAAGTAAAGTCGACGATATACTACTGTGACCGTAAGACCTGCACACAAACTGATCCGTAGCATAAAGCCTGCTTGCAGTTTTTGACGCTATATTCTTGGCCGATAGGTCCGCCGGCAACAGATGCAACAGGGTGTAGAGTGCCGCCGTCGGTGTAGTCCTAAGTACCCCTATCATAATAAAAGACTCAACATAGCCTCCTTTTAGCTCAATACATTTAGTTCAGCGTTTTTACGATTTTTTTAATTCCATCCAAATAGTAATAGGTCTTCAAAATAAGCGCCCAGCATTCCTTTGGATTTAAGAAAAGATTTGTACATTGAATAAAAAAATGATTTTATTCGTCAACCAAACAAAAAATTAATTGTATTTGTGATTTCAATTTTCCAGCAAATCAATTTGACTCGGGATTTTTCCAACAAAAAATTTTTTTTTTATATAACGCAAACACGACTTTCGAGTTTTTTTCCAATGCAAATCAAATCTCAAATAAAGTTTATTTGTCCGACCAAGCAAATCACAAATAAATTTTACTTCTGTTCAACGAATCAAATCATAAATAAACTTTATTTTTTGTTTAGTCGATGAATCAAATAACTAATCAAAAATCTTAATGACACAACCCTGAATGATCCAATTTCAATGAAAAAAAAATAAATTCTGTCGAAAAGTGGTTATCTAATATTTTCAAAAATATATATCATTGGAGATGCGGGGCATCGATCCCCGTACCTCTCACATGCTAAGCGAGCGCTCTACCATCTGAGCTACATCCCCGTTATAAAATTGGAATCTTTTACGTTAAAGCGTTACACGAAAAGTGCATGGCTAAACATAATCAAAACGACAATTAAAAGCAATATCATTGCTGCATATGTATGTATCAGGGATGTTGCGAATATTTGCATTCGCATTCGTTATGCGAATGATTCGCATCATTTTACTCATTCGCATTCGACATTCGCATTCGCATCAAATGATACGAATGTTTTGCGAATGCGAATGAGTACATGAGCAGAGAGTCCACTCTAATATTGTTAATATATTTAACCAGGATGCGGTCAATAACCGGGTGTTAGCTTCAGGCGCTAAACAGTTAAGTAGTATATCAAGCAACATTGATGGTATTGAAGTACTGATAAAAGTCTTATAAGCAACATAGAAATAATTTTAGATTCCTCCAGCGAAAGCGAAGGCTCGAGTGTAGAACCTAGAGACATTAAAAAATGTGAAATTAAAGCTCAATTGAAGGCCTATCGTAAAGAAAAATGAGCTCATCTCGGTGAAAATCCTCTAGGTTGGTAGGAAATGAAACTAAAATGCGACAAATCGACACATCTGGTCCAAAAATTTTTGCGCGCTCCACCCGCCAGCGTTCCAAGTGAGCAATTGTTCAGTGCAGCCGGCCTTATATACGAGCCTCTACGAAATCGCCTCATGGGAGAAAAAGCAGCAAAATTACTGTTTTTTGAAATATAATATGCCCCTTTTGAACTTTGACTACTAGATTAAAGCACTGTATAGGTTAAGCACTCGTTCAATGTTCTAATAATTTACAAAATTTTTAAGTAATAAAAACGGCGCTTACACATATGTTAGTGTCTGGCCGAGCTTCTCCTCATTTGTGGCGTGCGCCTTGATGTTGTCACACAAAGCGGAAGGACCTACAGTTTTACGCCGACTCCGAACGGCGATTGTATTTTTATGAGAAGCTGTTTTTCATGGCAAAAATACACTCGGAGGTTTGCCATTGCCTGCCGAGGGACGACCGCTGTTAAAAAAACCTTTTATTTTATTTCTTGCGATGTTGCTTTGACCAGGGCTTGAACCCAGGTGCTGATGAGTGAAAGCGCGCACTGCTTACCACTACACCACAGCGGCCGACAGATTATAGCTTATTTAATATTATTTCTAACATTCGCATTCGCACAATCGCATTCCTAAAATTCACATTCGCGAATGCGAAGATATGATATTCGAAACATCCCTAGTATGTATGTACGAGTACATTGTTTTGAATTAAAAATGCAAGTAACGCACGCATTTTGGTTGGTTCCGTTTTATATGCAATGCATGAGAGTGAAGACCACCCTTAAAGTTGGCTAAAATGAACAACAGCTTAACTAGTTATAAGTTAATTTTATGTTTCAATTTCTATGTTCAAAGTAGTTGTCTATTTAAATTGAGAAACTCGAGATTAGATAACTATATCGATATACTGCTGACAATTTGCACGAAATTTAATTCTAGTGTAGATAACTTTTCCTTTTTCGGTTTAAAATCAGCCACCGCAAATAACGATTATTATAAGCTTTTATTTAACTTGGTCATCCCGCGCAAATCGCGGAAATTTCCAATCGATTTTAAACTGACTTCCCGACAAGTTAGAGACTTGAAATTTTCAGCATAGTTCCAATCACGATGACAATGCAATTTAAACAAAAAGGAATTCCCCATATGGTCCAATAGTAAGATTTATGGCTAACAGAGCGTAATTTGCCAAAGAACGTAAAACCACTATAAAATTGTTAAAGCTGCCGGCGCGCCGCGGCGGTAGTGTAGCAAAGCTATTTGTTGCAAATTCTAGATATCAACCTAGTCTAGATATGAACCTCGTTGTAGGCATCATATAAAGGCGATACAATTAGAAGACTCCAGATGTCGCCCCGCCAGAAGAAGTTAAATATTGCGCCTAAATATATGCCATGCTACAGCGGAAATGGACGACACGCCATTTCTTTAAATAAAATTAACTGCTGCTATATGTACATATGTATGTTTATACAAAACGTAAGCAAACAACATTTTGCTTGCCAAGTCTTCTGTTCTCTTTCATTACAAGTAGAATTATTTTAATATCTATTGCAAAATTTTGTACATAAAATAAAAAAAAACTTTTTAATATACAACGCTTTTATAAATGGACTAAAAATTAGAAAATAAAATAATGTAAAAAATATATTTTATAAAAACAAGCTTTTAAAATTTTTTTTGCTAAAAAATCTTTTGTTACACTACTTCATTTTATTCCTTTGATTGTACAGGTTAAATAAAAGCTTGTTTTTAAAAAATATTTTTTTTACATTATTTTATTTTATAATTTTTAGTCCATTTATAAAAGCGTTGTATATTAAAAAGTGTTATTTTATTTTATGTACAAAATTTTGCANAATTTCACTTAAAAAAAGCACACTAAGTAAAAAGTAAACCAACATATGAGTAGTCTCCTTGCAAAGTGTCCCATGTAAAATTTTTTCGATTTTTAGTTTTTGGTGGTCAACGTACCAGTATTTAAAGTAGTTTCATGTCCGCTAACAATACAGTGCAAAATCCTTATATATTCTGAAAAAAATAGCATCAAATGTTAGTTACTCTAGCAAAAGTCGCTATAATACTTATTGTATGTATACATACACTTTCAAAAGTCGCTATAATATTTATTGTACGTATTTATACAAGTTCGAAAGTCTTCATCTTCTGATGAAGTTAGAAAACTGCAAGAAAACGTGGTAGTTTCGGTGCCTAGTGGAAGACGTCGTAAAAAAGAAGTGGACCAATCTTCATGGAAGAGAGAACGCGAAAAGCTAAAAAAAAGATAGCTATGTAAAAGTTACTATTTCAAAACTCTTAGGCTATTATTTATCCAAATTTTCAGATAATAAAAAAAAGATAAAATTTGGATTTAACTTGTTGTAGACGTTTTTTTTTTTTTAATTTATGGCTTACTACTATAAAATCAGCACAGGAGTACTCATATATGCTTTTTGTTATTTAGAATATCGTCAGCGGCAATGATTTTATGTGCTGGGTATGA